GGATAGGAAGAAGGTATCGTCGTCGATGATGCAGCCCCACCGGGTGGACTCGCGGGCGTTCTCCTCTAGCAGAGGGATCAGGGCAAAGTATCGGCGGAGGTAGTCATCTTCTGACTCAGTGATGATGAGATTGATGCCCATGGCGTCAGCCTTGGTCTTAACCTCGCGGATAGCCTCGCCTCCTGTCTCATCGGGTTCGAGCAGGGCAAAGATGCGAGTTCGAGTGTATCCAGCCCAATGCTGGAAAGCGTTCAGGGAATCGTTCAATCTGCCCACACTGGTGGCGACTCCAAAATCGATATGGGATGCAATGGTCAACTTCGGAGGTCTAGGAACCTTCACCTCCATTGGAGCAGGAATTGAGCATCCATCCTGCGCGCCCTCTCCGCCCTTTGCGATCAAGAATGGCGCATCGAGTCTCTGTGTCATGGGCAGATGCTCATCCGTAATGTCCACCACAATTTCTCGGCGAGTATACTGGGCGAGTTTGAGCACATCCAGTCGAGAGAGCAGATCGGTATCGATTTCGCACTTGACGTCGGACGAGATTGTGATATTGGAGACGGTTGTCATGGGCAAGACGGGTGTCTCAACCGAAGGCCATAGCATGGCGACGAACCCTAGGACGACTAGGAATGCGACGCCAAATCGCAGAATCTTCTTCCACGCCCATGACGCCCCCGGGAAAGCTTCGTCTCGCGCGTTGACAAGCATCTTGTATGATTAGACCGTGTGGGTGTGTCAGCTCCTATCGCATTGCGGATACAAGAGAGATCTAGAGCACAACTAAGGGCCCACGGTCGCAGGCGAGGGTGAAGGAGTTGCCAGAAGCAATGAAGGTGAAGGAAAAGGAAGAAAGAGAGAAGAGACGGGAAAACCAGGGACGATCATAGTTCCATGGTTAATGGCGGCCAATTTTCTCAAGGGGCCAGAGGATGATCATGACGTGCAGGCCGCTGGCCGCTTCGTGGTGGAAGTCACGTGTAGTCTTCATGTTACAGTCTCTTTCTCTTTTCTGTCTTTTCTCTACTTTCAGGGATGTTACATATTCGGTTTCAACGACTCAGCCGGTTGAAATCCCATCACTATTATGAATTAGGGAGTATGGTGGGCATGTTCAACAGACACTGGACATAACTCGGTCCCCATGATTATCTTGAACCCTGCCGGTGCCAAGGCCTCTAACCAGCACTCCCTCTCTCTCACTCGCCGTTATGGCTTCCGAGCTCCACGTCCGCGCGTCGCCCGCCCCCATTGCCTTGTTGCCGCTGTCTGATCTCTTGCAGGCCAAGGCGCTACGCCCTACCCTACAGCCATCGGAACGAAGTTTTTCGTATTGGTTTGCGCCCATTCCGCAGACTTTTAAAGGCGCAAACTATTTACCCTTAGACATTCTTAAGGAGCTTGGACACGTTGTTTGTTTGAAACGTTATCTCTCAAGAGGATCCCTTTGCCGATCTGCCCCTGTCGATGACTGAATATTCTTCGCCCACTCCACACTGTCTTGATGGATTGGGGGTCTTTCTCCTCAGATTAAAGCTTAGTCAACCAGATACTTTCAGGGTCTTGATGCTCGCTACTACAGTACGCTGTACAGTACCTGGAGAGCCCATGGAAGATATCATCTATCCAAGTATGTCTAATCCGGTCTGCCGGATGTGTCAGGTGTACTCCGTGTACACGTACCGGACACAGCCCCAAAGATCACCGACTTGAGTGCGCTGATCAGAGACTTGGGGCTACTTCCGGAGTCTGTCTCATCAAAGTTAGAAACAGCCAATCCAGTAGTTCTCACCGGGGCTCTGCCTCACCTATAGCACATGCCCTAGTATATACTTAGACGGGCCGAGCAGTGATAGATCATGTCGGCATATGATCGGCTTCATTATGCCCTTGGGTGTCAGAAATGCACTTGTCATACAAGTAGATGTCTTGTTTCTCTCCGGAACCGGTAATGTGTCATTGCATGGTTGCTTTAGAGATCAGAGAAGTATAAAGCATAGTCATCCATTTAACCCTGAGATCAGAAAACTCTTCCCCGACTCAATGCACACCTCAATTACTGGAGTTGGGTTGACCTGAATTGGAAGGATTTAACCAGACTGTTTGCTGCCATTGCCACCAAATTTACCATGGTTTTATATTTCTGCTGTACAGTGATATATTTACAAAAGCGATCTGCACGGTATATAGCCAATCCAATAAAGGCAGGATATATTGATAAGCTCTGTTCCAACATATTCAAAGCTCACGTCTAAGAAAAACCTCATATGTTCAATGCCAATAACGTATTGAGTCCTCAACCCCATATCACGTGAGCTACGGTGGCTCACACGGCCAGAGATGCAGAGTTGCCCCAATGGGGAAAGAACAGTTCCGCACATTGGACTTTGATATCAGTTGACTCGGGGAATTTAGTGAACCGTGCCTTTCTGTATCTGAATAACCCCCATTCGACACTACCAGGTGTATTTGCCGTACTCAATTTTAATACCTCGCGAAACCCCGATCTTCCCCGCCATGGTTGCGCAATCGCTGGCTTCGCTGCTGCAGCGAGCATCGATTGACGACCACGAGGAAGTCCTCCAGTCGTGCAATGCAGTCCTCGCCAAGTCCAAGTCAGACCTGCAAGCGCAACACATGAAGGTTGTTGCTCTATTAAAACTCGACCGTTACGACGAGGCTCTCCGCACATTCGAGGCCGGAGGTGATGAGCTGAAGAAGAGCGCTGGGTTGGAATACGCTTATGCATCATACAAGTGTGGAAAGCTTGAGCAAGCTACGGAAGCTTTGACCCGTACGGCTTCTGGCCGTGGTGCTGATCATTTGGAGGCACAAGTGGTACGGTGTCCTATTCAGTGCTACTCGAGTACCAATGCTAATATATCTTTGCAACGATAGCGCTACCGTGCTGAAGAATTCCGACGTACTGCTGAGCTTTACGAACAACTCTTGCAAAATACGACATCCCACAGCCATGAGATCAATGACTTGAACATCAACTCGTGGGCCACCGATGCGCAACTACAGTGGAAAGGAGAGCCGGAATTCGTGCGCCATGATCGTCTGTCGAGGGAGGATTTGGAATCGTTCGAAACAACCTACAACGCAGCTTGCTTGAACATTGCGAAGGGAGCATTCAAGCAAGGCGAAGTATTGCTCAACCGTGCCCAAAGTCAGACCCCGCCATTATCTCTACAAGACGGAGCTCGAACTGACACTGCTAATAGATATCTGCCGAACATCGGAGGACCTTTCACCTGAGGATAAGGCTGCAGAGCTGCTGCCTATTTCTGTGCAGTACCTGTATGTTTTAATCCGACTTGGTAAGCTGGAAGAGGCCGAGGCAGTTCTCAAAGATATCTCCGTGGAAGAGTAAGTGGAAACATACTGGCGTACATCGGGCAGAAACTTACATCTAAATTATTAGCATCCCCGAGTTATCAACCAAGAAGATCGCCCGGAACAACATTGTCCTCGCCCGCCAGACTGTCGCAAACCCCTTCATCCTCTACAAGGCCCTCCACGAGACCCCAGATGCCACCGACAACGACCGGTTATTCGATTTCCAGGATCGTGATCTAGTCGGCAACGCTCATGCCACTGATCTCCTTGTCCAGAAATACGATGGAATCATCCGGTCTACATCCAAGGCACTGTCCAAGCGCCCATCGCCCTCAACCGATGCCACCACCAACCTTCTCTCCGTCTACAACGCCGCAGCTCACGCTCAAGGCCAGACAGGATCCAAGGCCCTAAACCAGATCCTTCCCCTGCTCGAGAGACGTCCCACAGACCTCGGCCTCCTTCTGACAGTAGTCCAGCTCTACGTCAACGGCGGCAACACCACCTCCGCCATCCAAGCAATGGAGCGCACCCTCCGCATCCTAGAGGAATCAATTTCCGAAGCCGACCAAAACGCCCGCTTCAACCCAGGCTTCCTCAGCGTCCTGGTCTCCCTGTACCAGCTCGAAGGCCGCAAGGTCCAAATCCGCACAACCCTAGCCCAAGCCGCCACCTACTGGCGCACAAAGCCCGAGCCCCCAGCGTCCCTCCTCCGCGCCGCAGCCGCCTCCCTCCTCCACTCGGAAGACCGCGCCGACCTCTCCACAGCAGGCGACCTTTTCCAAGAACTGCACAAGCAAAACCCGAACGATCGCCTCGCAATCGCCGGCTACGTCGCCTCCCAAGCAACCCTGGACTACTCGCAAATCGAATCCCAACTCAACGCCCTGCCCCAAGTCTCCGACCTAATTGCCGACATCGACATCTCCGCCCTGGAATCCGCCGGCGTCTCCCCCTCCGCCTCATCAGCCGCAGCAGCCGCCGCCGCCATCGCAGGTGCCCGCAAACGCACCGCTGGAGCCGACGACCGCGCCCACAAGCGCGTCCGCAAGTCCCGCCTGCCCAAGGACTTTGATCCTGCTAAGAAGGCTGACCCTGAGCGCTGGCTGCCTGTACGTGATCGCTCCTCTTACCGGCCTAAGGGTAAGAAGGGTAAGCAGCGTGCTGCGGCTTTGACGCAGGGTGGGGTTGTTGATGAGAAGGCCAATGAGGCTGCTAGTCAGCAGCAGAAGGCTGCTGCTGGTGGTGGTTCCAATGCGAAGAAGAATAAGAAGAAGGGGAAGAGGTGATTTAGTTCTTGTTTGTATGAGATGATTGTACTGCATTGTTAGCTCGGAATGTGTATAGCTTGTGATGTATGGATCTACATTACGTATCTTGTATCTTGCGTTCAGCAAGACTTTTGGGTGCTGAAAATCTTGCCTGTTCGGCATGTTAGATAACATAGATTACTACCTAGCCAACCCCTACTTTTCATTTAGGTCCATGAACAACGTCACACAAGTGGAGTGGAGATTAAATGTAGACTAGTCTTCTAAGACCTATATAAAAAAAACAACAGCTAGGAAACACAACTCGCCAGAAGCATGAGTATGAATGCAATTTCCCTTTTGATATCCAGCCCCAACGCCCATGAGAACACCTCAAACCAGAGCTCAACCAAGCGGAGTACGAATAGTACCACACTGCCGATTATAATGCTCAAATATCATAAGCAGCAACCGCAAATCCATAAAAGCATCCTCAGTAGTAGTCTTCGCAGCCGAGTCCCCACCAAGCAAATAAGAGTGCAATGCCATGAATTGACGCTCGTATGCCTCTTCGCAGGAACAGACCGTCTCAGTGCGCTTGATGCGTGGACGAAGAAGCTCATCCTCAGTCTGTTGGCGGTTTTCTTTGCCGTTGATACTGCCATTTCCCTGACCATTACCCACTCCCACCTCTTGCAGAGAGCCAGCCTCTTCAACAACAACACGTACAAAAGTCCCACTACTAATCTTTTCACCGGGTCGAGGGAAATCATACTCAACAGTGATGGTCTTGTCAGCACCATAAACCGTCAAATGGGCATCACAGCGCGGAACAGCGTCAATGCCTGCTTCATAGACGAGCGTGAATGGATGACCATCGGAGGAATTTGTGTAATGGAAGATGGCAGAATAGAACGGGTCTGTGATAGCGACGTTGGAGACTGCATCTGGGAAACCCAGTGACTCGCGCATCAGGGAGAGATCGTGGCAGCCCAGCATACCAAGGTAGCGACAGAACGCGATTCGGTCGGGTGTGAGGTCTTCGCCGAACACGTCTTCTAGTATCTTGGTGAATTTCTCCGGGCTGTTGAGCTGTTTCACGGTTGTCGCGGCGCTGGCCCCGTTGATGCCGCTTGGTGTTGAAGCTGGTGTTGCGATATTCATTCGACCGGCGATGTTGCGGCAGCGCGCGTATTGTATGCGGCCTAGATTGGCCAGCTCTTTCTTGAAGACTTCCGTGAAGCAAGGCGCGTATCGACGCGCACATCCGACGAAGACTTTCGGTGCGTCTGGGTTGTTGCTGTTGGTGTTGTTGTTAATGCTGCTACTGGATCGAGCAGCTTGGCCTTTTTTGGTTGCGTCGCGGATGCGGCGCAGACTTGGGATGCTCATTGCGAGTGGGGCTTCGACCATTACGTCTTTGCCGGATTCTAGAGCTGTTACGGTGTGTTGTTCGTGATATTCCACTGGGAGGAGGTTTAGGACTACGTCCACGTCTTTATGGAGTAGGACATCTTCGATGACGGTTGTACTGTGGGTTATGCCGAAGCGTGTTTGGCATTGTTTGACGACCTCTTCGCTGGGATCGTATATTATTGTGAGGGTGTAGTGGGTTCTGAGAGAACGTAGGACTGGGAGGTAGGCTTGGATGGCGCTCGTCGCGCCTAGGATGCCTAGGCGGAGGACGGTGTTGGTCATCTTGACAAGAGCCGAGAGGTTCGAAGTTCAGATCTGATGACGGGGAAGGGTGATCGATGATTGCTTTTGCTTTGTGTCCTTATGTGCCTGAGTGTGGCGAATGACCAGGATGGTTTAGCAAGCTATGTTGTAGCAAGCTTAGGAATTATGGCAATCAAAAGGAAGGTGAATACTGTCAAAAGCTGAATTTTAGGCAAGCGCGATGGCTAGTATTGTTCCAAGGAAGATTGAAGTGAGGTCAAACTGAGAAAGGAGGAAGCTGTGATGTATCAAGGGGAGCATGCCCTGTGACATCACCTACCATGGTCCAGGGTAGAGTCCAGTGGTTCAGCTGAGTTGTACCCCGGATCCAAGATATCAAGATCTGGGATACCTGGTATAGTTAGTTGCATATCGATCATAGCTATTTGTCGATCCTGTATAGGTTGGGGGTAGTTAATAGGTGGTTGTATGTAGATTGATCTGATGCAAGGGTTACTTTGTATCCATGTACCAGGCAACAGTGACAGGGATGTAGTAGATATTTCGTATACTCAAGGCATCTGAACTATATGAGGCTATGTAAGATGTAGATGTACGCAATAATCTTCAACCCACACCTTCTGGAAGCATCGCGGGTGGGGGTGTGGGCCTTTCAGGCATCGAGTAATCAGCCTTGTTCGAGCTTACTGTATGTCAAGGACACTGGATTAAATCAAATACATATTTTAACAATGATATACAGATATTACTATAGATAACCTTACCCGAAGCAAACAAGTCCTCTATGTGACTTCATGTGAGGTACCTACAGATACTTCTTCACCGGGTGGAATCACGCGGGCGGCCAAGTACCCAGAGGTACCACACGTATACAGCTCAGCCTCAAATAAGAGGGGCACTTATCCGACCTCAACGTCATTAACCCGGACCACCTGAGCAGGCGCTGACTTCTTTTACTTTTCAACTCCTCTTCCCCAACAATCATGGGTGTAAGTTTCTGAAACGAATACTGAACTGACAGCTCAATCTGACCCATCACTTTAGTTTGCACAGAAAATCGCTGCAAGCCAGAAGAATCAAATGCCAGGCACATACGGCGGAGCACCTCCTTCGGGATACACAGGAGGACCTCCTTCAGCGCTGCAGCCTGGACACGTAAGTATCTCCCGACGTCATGGAAAATTAGCTGACCCCACGCAGAGTCAACAATATCAGGCATATCCAGGCTCCCCTCCCCCTCAGGGCTCGGTAAGCAAGATTTCCTAGTATTTTGTGTTTATTTTTTCCTTTCTTCAACCTCTACATCCTCGGATTCGACCTCAAATCCACCATGTCGGGATATAACCAAGGATATGCTCCCTACGGCTCACACCAACAATACCAGTCTGCAAATGCTTCCTCCCCAGCTCCTGGATCCTACTCGAGGCCTCCTCCGCAGCCCACCTCTCCCTACCCCGCACAATCTCAGGGCTACGGGCGCCCGCCTCCACCTCCACCGCAAGGCCAGCCCGGTCAGCCCTATGCCTCCTCCGGCTCGCCTTACCCGGGACAGCCCTATGGACAACCTGGACAACCTGGACAACCTGGACAACCATACCCTGGACAACAACCATCCGGGCAACCCCAGTATCCTGGACAACAACAGTATCCCGGCCAGCAACCATACCCTGGACAACAGCCCTCTTATGTACAGTCGAACCCCAGTGCCCTATTGCTACTTGTTTTGTTTGCTTGATGTCGTCTTGCAATCGTCGTTTGAATGTTTCACCTGTTACGGGATCATGCTGACCAAAATAGAACCAAGCACCACCATATCCCACACAGGGAGCTCCGTACCCCGGAGGCCAAGCGCGCCCTGGATCCTCGCCTGCACCACCAGGCGGACCTCCCGGCCAGTATGGTGCTCCCGGCGGTCCTTCGCCCTCAGCCCCACCGGTTACGCAGCAGCAGGCTGCAGCATACAGACAGCTATTGATCAGCTGCATTCAAGAGAATAATCTCCAAAGCTTCTACCCCCCGGAGCGACTGGACCGACTTGTCCAGTCGCTTGCTGCTGAGGCACCGGGCAAGCTTGCTCGGTTGATCCACGAATGGGCCGTGCCCATGGAGGTTGCTACCGATGTCATGAAGCTCGCGTTGTACGATGTTATCCTTTACGTGGACGATAGTGGCTCCATTGAATTCGAAGAGAAGGGTCTCCGAAAGGATCAGTTGAGACAGATCCTGGGCATTGTCGCTACTGCGGCGTCGACCTTCGACCAGGATGGTATCTCCGTCCGCTTCATGAATTCCGCAGAGCAAGGCGATGGAATCCGTGATGCGGAGGACGTCAACCGCTTGGTGTCTCGCGTCCGCTTCTCCGGGCTCACTCCTCTGGGCACCAGCTTGAAGAGCAAGGTCGTTGACCCCATGGTGGTGGGACCGGCCCGCGCCAACCGCCTTGAGAAGCCTGTGCTTGTCATCACCATCACTGACGGACAGCCCGCCGGTGAACCTCACGGTGCTGTGGGCGATGTCATTCGTCATGCTGTCGAGGAGACATCGCGCACCCGTTACGGTCCTGGTGCCGTGTCCTTCCAGTTCTCGCAGGTGGGCACGGATTCGCGGGCTCGTGATTTCCTGTCTTCCCTCGATGAGGACCCTCACATTGGCCACTTGATCGACTGCACCTCCAGTAAGTTCCACCTAGTGTCCACGGTGGACCCAGCTAACGTGGCGTTCTAGACTTCGAAGTCGAGCAGGATGAGATGTCTCGTGCTAATCCACCAGTCCACTTGACCCGTGAACTTTGGGTATGTCTTTCTATCATACTGTTGATCGAAGCGCTATAACTAACTGTTTTTCTAGTGTGCCAAGCTGATGCTCGGTGCTATTGATTCCTCCTACGACACCAAGGACGAGCAAGAACACGAACGTCGTGGACCCCCACCTGCACCCGCAGGGCAATACGGAGGATACAACCAGCCTCCTCCCCAAAGCCAAGGTCCGCCTGCTTCGTACAACCCACCACCAGGTGCTCCTCCAGGTTACAACCCGCAATCTGGATACCCACAGGCGCCCCAGCAGGCACCCCAGCAACCCCCCTACCAGGCGTCCCGCGGTGCCTATGGACAGCAACAGCCGTACGTATATGCACCACAGCAGGGATCTGGATATCCGCCTTATGGCCAACCGCCACGCTATTAGTGGCACATGACGTCATAGGGCTTTTCTTTTGCCATGCGGCTGTGAGGGATCGGCGATGATATTCGATGATATTCAATGGATGGTTTTCTCCACGACTGGAGTTTGTAATCTCAACTCAATATGAAATTGTATTTGAACCAAACTCTTCAACAAAATGGATGTTAATCTTCCAGAACCCGTATCGGCCCCGCCAAGACCCTTATAGTGAAGAGCGATCTCGGAGGAAGGGCCACGCGTTCGGGGTTTTCCTAAGGCAGAGAGGCCTGGGCACTGGCTTTGTGTATGTGCGGTTGTATCTGTGTCAGCTGTAAGATGTTTAACGTTGGTACAAAGTTGCCACTAAACTCAGTTTCGGGACTTTGACGCACTCGGGGTGGAATGTGAGATAGCCAATAGCGGCCACAACCAAGTATACTACTGGATTCAGCCTATGTTCGCCCATGGATGCAGAACAATTAGCCACTTGGAGCCCTGGAGAACCGGCTATTCTTAAACCGTTGCGTGGTCTGGGGGCTGTGCCTGGCGTATGTCAGGGCTATCGGTTGCATCCATTGAGTGTTGCCTGAACTTTCTCTCCACCGTACCAGAAATGCCTTTTATGGGGGTTTGTTTTAGATTTTATTAGATTTCAAAACTCGCCTTAAAACTCCAATTTTCTTGCCTCTCTGCCTATCAAATCCTATCCTTGCTCCATGACACTCTTCTAGACATGAGCCACTAGACCGTTTTGGGTATATACCGGATCCGTGTTGCCCCCAGGTCTCTTGGTCTTCGACTCTACGCACTCTCTGTTTCTTCTGCACACTTGAACACTCATTGATTACATCCATTATTATTCCTTGCGTCGGAGCATCTCTCGTTTGAGCTCGATCCTCGCAATAGAGAACCCTCGTTTGCTTTGCGACAGGGAAAACTTGCCATACCCTGCAAAGAGAAGAATGAGTGACAGCGTGATTGGACTCAGTTCGACCGAATACACCAGCCCCAATTATATCTGAGCAAGAGACGGACGAGAAAGGACACAGTCGGATCAGAGGACGAAAAATTCAAGCGATCGTCGGGGTCTGTCCCGCGCAGACACTGCGAGGAATTCCAGCCTTTCGTCATGTCCCACCACGACGAGCCAGCCGACAACGAGGGCTCCCGACCGGAGCAGATCACTCAGACCAACGACGCCCTCCGCCGCCCTTCCCTTGTTTCGTCGCGAACACTCTCCGACTCTGGACGCCGCATCTCCTCACAACATGTCCGCTTCTCAACCGACCTCGACCGCCCCTCGGCCGAGGAACAAAGACAGACAAACTGGGACCGCCGTCCCCATTCCCGTGGCTTGACTATTGATACAGCGCTGGCGCCTCCGTCTGCTCGACCCGCTGGTCGCTCGCCTACATCGCCTCTTTCGCCTAATACCCAAACCCAAACCGCAAACGCGAATGCGACCCTTTCCCCCATTTCGCCGTCGAGTCCTGAGTCTGCCGGTCGGTCTCGTTCGCGAAACCGTGGCTATTCGCTGCGTCGCACCATCTTTAATAAGACTATTCACTCGAATACGGAGCAGGATGATCTTGCCCTGGCTGAGCTGGGCGAGGCCAAGGAGCCTGCTGCGGAGGTGGCTTCAACTCCGGCTGCGGCTATCGAACGGTCTAGCTCCGATGAGAAGAATGCGTTGAGTTTCGCACCGACGGCGACGCTGGATTCGCAGCATAAGGAGGAGGTTTCAACATATGTCTCTTCTGAGCCTTCTGAGAAGGCTTTCAAGGGTCAGTTTTCTGTGCCTATGGCACGCCAAAAATGGGTTGGGAAAAAGGCTGCTGTTGAGCTGCGCATTCAGGAAGTTTTGACTTCTGTTCAGAAGTTCATTCTGCGTATCAAAGATATCCCACCTACGAGGGATGGACGTCACCTTGATTTGAACCCTTCTGAGGTTGGTACCATGATCGACGAGCGCACCAACAAGCCTTATATTAGCAATTCGATTCGCTCGAGTCGGTACAGCCTGTGGAGTTTCTTCCCTCGTCAGCTGTTCGCTCAGTTTACCAAGGTGGCCAATTTCTACTTCTTGGTTGTTGCCATTTTGCAGATGATTCCCGGTCTGAGTACGACTGGAACATACACCACCATCGTTCCGCTTTTGATCTTCGTTGGTATCTCTATGGGTAAGGAGGGTTTTGATGATTGGCGCCGATATCGTCTCGACAAGGAAGAGAATAACCGGGACGCTTTCGTGCTCCGTCCGGGTCATGGTACGATTGCGGATGGTGCTTCCGTTACCAGCAATGCTCAGGATTGGGCATTGATCAAGTGGAAGGATATCCGTGTTGGCGATGTTATCAAGCTTGAGCGCGATCAGCCGATCCCTGCTGATATTGCTCTCCTTCATGCCAGTGGACCTAATGGTGTGGCCTACATTGAGACTATGGCTCTTGATGGAGAGACCAATTTGAAGAATAAGCAGCCTTGCCAGCCTGTTTCAAAGCTGTGCTCGACGGTCGAGGATATCACCAACATCAACAACTCGCTACACTTCGTTGTTGAGGACCCCAACTTGGATCTCTATAAATTTGATGGACATGTCACCGTCAATGCTCAAGAGAAGCTACCCTTGACCAACAACGAGATCGTATATCGTGGCAGTATCATTCGGAACACTGACCGCGCCCTTGGTATGGTCATTTACACCGGTGAAGAGTGCAAGATCCGCATGAATGCCAACAAGAACCCGCGTATTAAGAGGCCTGCACTCCAGGATAAGGTCAACCGTGTTGTCATGTTGATTGTAGTCCTGGTTGTTATTCTGGCTGTTGTCTGCACGGTGGCCTACAAATACTGGTCGCAAAACGTGGAGAGCAAATCCTGGTACCTCTCCAACGCCAGTGTCCAGTACGGCCCTATCTTCACCTCATTCCTGATCATGTTCAATACCATGATTCCCATCTCACTGTATGTCAGTATGGAAATCGTGAAGGTTGCGCAGATGCTGCTTTTGAATGATATCGATATGTACGACCCCGAAACCAACACACCCCTCGAAGCCCGCACTTCCACTATCAACGAAGAGCTCGGTCAAGTCAGCTACATCTTCTCCGACAAGACTGGTACCCTGACAAACAACTCGATGCGCTTCCGTAAGATGAGTGTGGCCGGAACCGCCTGGCTGCACGACGCCGATCTTCAAGAGGAAGCTGCCCGCGAAGGAGACCACACCAAGTTGATTCACAAGAAGCGAAGCGCCAAGGGAAAGAAGGCGATGGGCCGCAAGTCCAACGTCTCGGAGATGCAGATGGGTCCCCGCCCATCGAATGTCTCTGGTGCGCTTGATGCGGTCCGCCAGCCTGGTCGTTCCGCCGTTGCCCACCGTACCGAGGAGATGATTGACTATATACAACGCAAACCATACACGATCTTTGCCCGCAAGGCCAAGCTTTTCATCCTGTCCATGGCCCTCTGTCACACTTGCATTCCTGAGGAAGATGAGCATGGTGTTACCACTTTCCAGGCTTCCTCGCCGGACGAGCTAGCCCTTGTCCTCGCCGCTCAGGAAATGGGATATCTCGTGATGGACCGCCAGTCGAACAGCTTGACTATTCGCACGCAACCCAATGGCCCGGATGAAGCTACCAGCGACGAAGTCTACGAGATCATGGACGTGATCGAGTTCTCAAGCACGCGCAAGCGCATGTCCGTCGTCGTCCGCATGCCCGATCGCCGTATCTGCCTGTTCTGCAAAGGCGCTGATACCACGCTGATGCGTCTACTGAAGCAAGCTGCGCTTGCACAGGAGAAAGCGAACGAGATTGAGCGACGTGCGAGTAGGCGCAAGGCCGCTGAGGCGACGCAGGTTATTCGACGCAACAGCGAACATCATAGTCGGAAGAACAGTGGAGTCCGCAGCAGCATGACCCGGCCTAGTTTCACGCGTCGACGCTCTTCAATCACTGGTCAGAATGGTTCGACTCTTCGGGCTAGTATTGATGTCTGGCTCCGGGATCGGGAGACTGATGGTGGAATTCTGAATAAGGAGGTTGATAGTGAGTACTACAGCCCTCGGCCTTCGGCGCAGTTAAGTCGACAGTCTGCTGCGATCTCTGATTCTGGGAGCTCTACCAATGGCGAGGATGAAGAGGATCTTGTTGAGGAGGCACTTGTTGTTAACGAGACTGCCATTTTCGAGCGCTGTTTCCAGCATTTGAATGACTTTGCCACTGATGGTCTACGGACTCTTCTATATGGGCATCGGTTCTTAGATGAAACTACCTACACAACCTGGAAGACTGCATACAATGAGGCGTGCACTAGCATTGTCGACCGACAGGAAAAGATTGAGCAGGTCGGCGAGCAGATCGAGCAGCAGCTCGAACTCACTGGCGCCACTGCCATCGAGGATAAGCTCCAGAAGGGTGTCCCCGAGGCCATTGATAAGCTTCGACGAGCCAACATCAAGATGTGGATGTTGACCGGTGACAAGCGCGAGACTGCCATTAACGTTGGCCACTCGTGTCGTCTTGTCAAGGAGTACTCCACCCTCACCATCTTGGATCAAGAGATTGGCGATGTTGAACAGAGCATCATCCATCTTATTGGGGAGATTACTCATGGCCGTGTGGCCCACTCAGTTGTGGTAGTTGATGGCCAGACGCTGTCATCCATCGAGGCAGATGAGCTTGTTCGCGAGCGGTTCTTCCAGTTGGCTGTCAAGACTGATTCTGTCATCTGCTGCCGAGCCAGCCCCAAGCAGAAGGCCTTCCTGGTGAAATCAATCCGTAAGCATCTCAACGACTCGATCACCCTCGCTATCGGTGATGGCGCCAATGATATTGCTATGATCCAAGAAGCACATGTTGGTATTGGAATCACTGGCAAGGAAGGATTGCAGGCAGCTCGTATTTCGGATTACTCGATTGCACAGTTCCGCTTCCTTCTCAAACTGCTTCTGGTGCACGGGCGCTGGAACTACATGCGTGCTTGCAAGTACACGCTTGGCACCTTCTGGAAGGAAATGTTGTTCTACCTCACTCAGGCGTTGTACCAGCGCTGGAACGGCTACACCGGCACGAGTTTGTACGAGCCGTGGAGTTTGAGTATGTTCAACACTCTGTTCACCTCGTTGGCAGTCATCTTCCTCGGAATTTTCACCAAAGACCTATCAGCATCAACCTTGCTCGCCGTGCCCGAACTCTACACCAAGGGCCAAAGGCACGGCGGATTCAATATCTGGCTCTACCTCGGCTGGTCATTCATGGCAACCTGCGAAGCAGTCATCATTTTCTTCACGATGTACGGCCTCTTCGGCATGGCAAGCGTCAACCCAAGCGACAACGATACCTTCACACTCGGCCTCCTGACCTTCTCCTCCTGTATCGTGGTAATAAACCTAAAACTGCAAGCTCTGGAAGTCCACAACAAAACCTACCTCTCCCTAATTGTGATCATAATCTCCGTCGGCGGCTGGTTCCTTTGGGACATAATCCTCGACCAACAATACACAATGTCCTCCGGCAAAGGCGTCTACTACGTACCCCACAACTTCCTCCAACACGCCGGCCACAACCTCCTCTTCTGGACTGTCCTCCTCCTCACAGTGGCAGCAGTCCTCCTCTTCGAATTCACCGTCAGCACCCTGCGCGCCCTCTTCTTCCCAACAGACGTCGACCTCTTCCAAGAATACGAACAAGACCTCGACATCCGCAAGCGTTTCGAAGAAGCTGCTGCCTCAGAACTCCAGCAGGGCTGGAATCGCGGAACGAAGAAATCTAGCTTCGAGATTGCGCGTGAGAATGCAGAGTCTGAGGCCCTTGAGCGGGAGCGTGAACGTCAAGTTGCCGAGTTGCTTGCTAGACCGCGTGTTATGCCGGATTCGAAGCCTGCTACCCAGGAGTTCGAGTTGGATGGGTACACCAGTGCTAGTGGGTCTGCGAGTCATAATGGCAGTGTGCCTAGTCGCACGGCTCCGATTGCTCAAGAGGTTGGGACTCAGGGTGTTCCTGAGCGAGGTCACGGACCTGACACTGCTTCTCCTGATGGTGGCACTGGTCGTCGTCGCTCTGTCGAAATCCAGGAGCTTTTCAGTAAAGGTTTTGGTACTGTCCGGAAAGGCCAACTCAAGTGATGATCGTGGTTGGAATTGTCCTTGCTTCGATTTGTACATGTATACCCGTGTGGCTGTTTGTTTCCCTCTTTGCTTTTGCTTTTTGCCTTCGAAAATATTCATTCTCTCATAGCGTTTGCGTTGTTTCCCCGATTTGCACACACATTCCCACGTCTACCATTCCATTCCCTCATCATACGATCCCTCCCCTCACTCTCTCTCACTCCCAAAAAAAGAGGGTATCAAAAGGCGTTGGGTTTTTGCATGTTGCTTGTTTGGCATGTTGTTTCGGTTCTTGGTTCCGGTCTTTCCTTGTATATCTGTTCGGTTCTGCACAGTCGCTGACAGATTAAGATACCCATACCCCGACTCTTGTTGGTAGTCTGGCTTTTTTTTCTTTTTTTTTTTGAGATTGTTTCTTGTTGCATACGTGTGACATACATTTGCGTTTCAGGTCGTTATTACGTATATAGTTTACAGTGACCTTTTGGTTCTATTTTTGACGCCTGTCTATACTACTTTGCCTCTTTAGACATAATCAACGAGAAAAGGATTTTCACAATTTGCTCTTGCATCTAGGCTTGAGAGCTAGGGTAATAATTTTTAGATGTTTGACTGTGTTGAGGTTGTGACTAATCTCATTTCTTTGTGCTTTATATCAATTGCAATATCCATACAAGTATAGCGTCATCTTGCCAGTCAGGGCTCGACTTGTCAGAGTTTGGTCTCTATAGCCACCGGGAGCAGACACGTATAAACCAATGAAGCGAGAGAGGGAACGCAGTTAGAGAGCCACCAACCATCTTCCTATGCAAATTATTGACCATGACGAGGCCTAATATTCAAGGCAGACATAGAAGTAAGTTAACTAAAGTTAGTCCAGTTAGTGGATTCTACAGGAAGAAGTCAACATAAGCTCATTCCAGAAAAGAAAACAAGCAGTCCACCAACGCATGAGACGTACTAGTAAAAGACGCTGCAATTGGCGCAATAACCCACGCAGACAGGGCCCTCTGGAAAGGACCCCATAGGCGCAGCATAATCCACAAAACAATTAAATCTTCAAGGAGTCACTATCGAGCTAATATGTTCCGGCCTCCAAGGCTGAAACGGGGTAAATTGCACATAATTTGTACTCCGTAAAGAAACAGTGACATTCAATACCAGAACAATACGCCTAGAGGTAGCAATGGGACCCGCAGATTTTGCAGGTCCTCATGGAAATGATCCGATAGAGCGTCGGATCTGCGAGACAAGATAGAAGGTGGAGGCTGATTTGGCTCGATGGGGCAAAGACTGTACAGAATTCCGTACTGAGACATACATGGAGTGAGGGATGCACGGAAGTAAATTTGGTCCTTGCATTGCATGGCCCTATGCCTTTCTTGTGGATTTGCAGCAGTTTGTTGATATCCTTGAAGTACGGTATATAGGATCTGGTGGCGGACATGGGTAGAGCTCAGGAACTGATACCCGGGACATGTATGTGAGCATAAGGAAATCTATCCCTGTCTTACAGTATGGTGGAACACCCCTTATTACCTTCCTTACGATACTAGCTTATTGATATCGTAATACATGTGTTGAGATATAGCAGTGGTACTTATATCAGGAAGGTTAAAACAGAAAACCCACCACGTTTCACGCTATGGTAAGCACGCAAGAGGAACAAGTAATTTAAATACAATCATAGATTTCTAAGAAATAGCACGGCTACTGGCCACAGTCATAGTCCCCAGTTCGAATCCCAATTCTAAGCCATATGGACCTAACGTAAAACGGTTAGAAGCCGAACCAGAGCAGCAGACACAGGAACGAAACACCTACATCTCATATCCAGGACACCAATTCAAATCGAAAGCAATATATCATTACAGCAGTCCAATGACAACGTCACCGTAAAGCTTAGCGTCGAGGTCGAGACGGACCTTGGCGTGCAGGTTGAGGTGGATCTTGATCTGCAAGCTGTTCTTCTCCTCTTTACCGGGTGTGCCGGCAGTCACGCCGGGGACTTGCATTCCATCGTTGGGGAGGAGTTCCTTAGTGGGCTCGCCGGCGGTGCCGAGGATATTGTCGTCGTCACGGGCCTGGCGGTTGCCGGTGATGGGGCTGTGTGGGAGCGGAGGGAAGTCAGTTTCACTTAAGCCCATGGGAAGGGTATCGGTTGGAGATTGGGTGGTTTCCGGTGGCTGATCGTGGTTTGGGGGGTCGATTGGGGGTGGAGGTTGGTTGTTCTTTGGCTTTTTGGACTTTTTTGTTGCCTTGTTTGCCATTGTGTGTGCTTTTGTATAAGAGAGGGAGTGGATTGGGTGTTATGGGAAGGGATTAAGTGGGAAGAGGATCATTTGGAATGGGATGGGGGTTTTGGATTGAAGTAAAGGGAGTTAGATATACCTGGCAGACATTGTGGTTTTAAGGGACGGGGGCTTAGGGTTGACGTGAGGTTGGAGATTGAGCGGAGAAGAAGACAGGGGACTAGAAGAAATACTCTGAGGACAGCCAGACGAGACAGTAAAAAATATATAGGCCGCTGGGGCCATGAAATATCTGTTTATTTGACAGAACAATCTATCTAGGTTCCACTTCGCTGTGCTATGATAACATAGCTGAATGAGCTCGAGGATCTGCAAACCTCCTCACTCTCACCTTGAGTCTGTGCCGTGAATACCTGCATGCATCAATTGTTTAGCTGCAGAAAAGATGATGCAATTTATGGAGTAGAAGTGGACTTGTTCAACCCCTAGTGCCATCTACTCCCCACAGTGCTAGGGAGAGCTGAAAGCTCGGTATTTAGCTGTTAGATCCATACACCTGCACATCTTTCCCATACACACATTCGCACGATATCTTGAAATTTTGACATCAATATCATATCATCCACAATGGTTCTCGGAGTGGTCATGATGGCGTCTATGCTGCCAACCATGATTGGGTTAAACGAAGCTACGCAGGGTACGCGCGACCAAGAGGAAAACCGAAAAACCTCAGCTCGCAAGCAGCGATGCCACTTGGTGGCCACATGTGCTCTCAGCCAGGGCACAGAGAGCCAACGCGCACAAGTTCAGAATGCCCGTGTATATGTGGGGCAAGACGGGAAAGTAAGTATCGTCATGCATATGAAACAGAGAAAAAGAAAACAAACAAAAATTCATGCTAACCAATTGTTTCGTCACAGCTCTATATCTCCAAGACACCCAGCTCCGCTTTGTCTCCCTTCAATGGTGGCTTCTACACCCACCCTGATTTCCCCCCGAACAATACATCCGGTGTGGTGACAATTACTGGCGAAGAGACCCCCACCTTGCGATGGGTGTTCTTGGACGCTAACACGCATGAGATGCGCTGGGGAGGGCGTCCTGACACCGAAGGCCACGTGTGTGGGCCCTTTGACTGGACGAAAGACGAGCAATACATGACGCTGGAGGGATGGGAAGGGTGGCTGGCCATTCGGTTGCCTGAAGATGACACGCGAGATCAAGCGGAGACAGACCTCGAGATCGGCAATGGCCGCGAGATTTGGCGCTTGTATTTTGACCAGCATGATAATGGAGCCGATCTTCCGCCCGGTTCCCAGGGGCTGGAAATTCGCCTTAAGCGAGTCATGGCGGAGTCATGAATGTAATACTAGACTTGGGATTCATGTATTTACGATCTTTTACATGCGGGGAATAGAAAGATGCAAGTTAGGGTTTGCGGACACGGATTGTATACTTCGGGGTAGGGTATTCTTCGGACTATACTCCGGAGTATACTTAGTATCCACCTCATTCGACACTTGGACTTGCAGCACTCTGCATAGCATAAGAGTGTGATAACTCGGCCAATTTGACCGCAAATATACTGTATTCTTTATTCTTAGCGCCTGTCTGTATTATTGCGATCACGCTAGGGAACACCGGACGAACAGTGGATCCCACTCGAGCCAATGGACAATCCCTGCCAACTCCCCGCTACATCTGACCTCTGTGATTTCGGACTTGTATGCAAGTTGCCCCATTTACTGCGATTTGTATGGCGATTTTGAGAATGCTATGGCTTCCGATACACTGGCACGCTTGGTCTGCTCAAACCTGCGGGACTTGAATTCAATAATCTCCCGGGTTTGCGACTCGGCAAAAATGGCTTGCTCCGGAAGAGGATACGGGCTTACTGTTAAGTTCTAGAGTAAATAGCTATAACCCTGGCTCCCAGCTGTCAAATTCTATCTTTCTGCTGTGGCGTAGCTAGACCCTCCCCACTTCCGGTAGATCCAAACCCAGTTCGGTCCGAAATGGCGTCCAATGATGTTCACCCCTGAATATGCGAGCTGACCATGCAAAACAACCCAAGTTTGGGCCGAACAAACCCTCAGGGAAAGGATTTTGCGTTGCTAAGGGGTCCTTGGAAGTATTTGTGGAGAAATTACGCATCTGAAGAAAACCCTGGCATGCTGTCCTTTGACTCCCAGGCATTCCGTACTTTTGTCATTGGAGTATTTCAAAGCGCTAAACCAATGGCTTGCAGGATATGATGTGTCTGCGCAAGCCACTACTACGGCTGCCCCGAGCAGCACGAGCTCTGAGGTGGTTCGCACCAACCCTGTAGCCCAGATCTCGGCATTGTTTGCCCATTGGACATAATCTGACTATTTCTATGCACTATGCGTTTTACACGGGGTATTTTCAGTAGGAATTATATACATTCTTTGTTGATTGAGTAGGCTTACTCACGATTATAGTCAAAAATGGTCTCAGAACAATGCCAGAAAAATGCTGAAGAAACCCTTGAGATGACAATAACCAACTGTATGTCTCGTATAGGTAAAGTTTTGCGCCGACCGTGTCTGACAATCTGATAGCAGGGCGAATATGCTTTTGAGGTCTCACTGCAGTCTCCTCCCATGTATGGCTGTTTCTTTGATGCCACGCACGCCCGTTTCGGTCAACCCCTAGGTAGCTTTCTATCTTATGCACGGATATACCCAGAACGGCACTTCAACGGCCACTAAACCTACCCAATGTAATGCTCAATGGTAGCATTTCGGCGTATCCGCCTCCCCGAGCTCAACATCTTCTCAGACGCCTGCGCCTCGATAGTCTCGACGCCTCTATGTGATGGTCTGCCAAATTCCAAGTAGGAAAGCGCCATTTCATAGTGTGCAGTCGGTGAAACCGGCGCTATCCTGGTCCGTATTCTGGTCGTTACCATGATTCCCTGATTCGTTGCCGTTCCCTATCCATGTCTGGTGGCTTTCTGTACAGACCCAATTCAGAAGCCCGGCAATGCAGCCCCTTCTATTCTCAGAACGGTGTTACCGTTTTGTCTGATTTTCATTGCTGCTCCCCTGTAGGCGTCTGGGCTGGTGAATGACAGGGGTTAGTTCTGCTATATCTACTTATATGGGATGGGAGCCCGAGGAAATATGTTTGTCAGTGAATTACCTTCCTGCATTTCAAAGCATCTGTTTTATTTCTCTGTCTATTTCCTTTTATAATTTTGTTTCATTAGTTTTATACCCTCTCCATCTGATATGCTAGCATAGCTTTACCAGCAAACCTTCACGCAAACCCATTTTATCATAAAAATCAGAAAAGCGTATAACCGTAAGTTGTGCTGCTGGATTGGGCCGTCTGAATATACACTGACAATTGGACTAAACGCACAGCAAACTGTAACAGAATATCAACATGGCTGCCCAGGTTGAGAGCGTCACCCCCGTTCCAGTGCCCGTCCCCTCCAATGGTAATGGCGTGGCTGCGTTGAAGAAGGCCCAGTTCTTCCCAATCAGCAATGGTCACACAACTGTTGTTTCCAATGGCCACTCGGAGTCAAACCGTCTTGGTGTTCTGCGTGAGCTGAACTATCGAATGACATCACGCGTCTTCGGCAAATTGGACGTTGAAGCCCGCTCCATACTGGAGAGCGTGAAGGGGGCCGATGATGTCTTCGATAGCATTGCCATTGAACGTCTGCGCTACATGCCCCGCGATGGTAGCCAGTTGGACCGTGTGTTCAAGTGGACTGCCTATCTCATTGCTCAACTGGATCAACTATCTAAGGAAATTCAACCCTTCGCCTTATACTCCGAGGAGGCTGCCCAGTCTATGTGGGGTTCTTGTCTAGTCTTGCTTTCGGTAAGTTGCAATGCCTGTCTCAAAATCCTGTATAGAGACTGATCTTATATAGCTCGGTCCCGATCAAATCGATCTTCTTTCCTATGTCTTTGGCACTTTCCACAACCTGGCGCAGGATGTTTCCCGCCTGACAGCTCAATGGCGCTCTCAGGAATCGGTCACTGATGCCCAGAGTGAGGTTGTTGCCGCTTACTCCGATCTCGTTGAGCTCATTTGTAATGTGAGCGTACACTATTACCGCAAGGCGCACAACTTCTCTCGAGCTGTCGATGTATCGGATTTCCATGCTCGTTTCTCTCATCACATTCATTCCTTCCAGTCTCACCGTGCTTCACTCATCGAAGTCTTGTGGACCAGCAGCTCTGCTACCTTGGAGTTTACCACAAACCCGGTAGTCAAAGTCCGGGAGATTCGCGAGTTCCTCTCTTTCCACGACCGTGCTGTCTCTGCCATTCTGTCTGCTCGCCAGCCCCGTGCAGCTGAGTACACCTGCGAGTGGTTTGAGAGTCACTTGACTCAGCAGCAGACTCGCCGTCCAGGCCTGACTGTCATCAACGGTGGCGTCGGCAGTGGAAAGACTGTCCTATCACAGTGGATTGTGGATAAGTTGCACTCCTCCCCTGACGGGGATGACACAGATGTGGTCGTGTACAGAATCCACGAGGATATCAGCGAGACTGCCACTAGCATCAACGTCATCAAAGGCGTGCTGCTTCAGCTCTTGGATCGCCAGGTCGGAGATGCTGCCTTTCTCGAGGCCCTTGACCAGGCCATCCGCATCGCTCGCTCTAGTACCTCGACCAAGGATATCGAAGAGTCTCTTTGGAATGCCGCTTTGGTCGCCTCAAAGAGCCTCCGTGATGTAACAATCCTCATTGATGGTCTGAGTGAGCTTTCTAGTCCTTCAGACTCTGTTCCCCGTGTGTTGAGCCAACTCTCTCGTCTCACTTCGCATAGTTCTGGTGTACGAGCAGTTGTGCTGTCACGACCTCTCCGCTGTTCGCTCCCCCAAGGAACGCACAACTTCACTATCGAGCCAGCTCATGTGCTTGAGGATATCAAGACAGTCATTTCGGCTACCTTGGAATCTACCAGACCATTCAATGTCCTCAAGCCCGATGACCGGGAAGAAATCCTAAAGACTATTGTCCAAAAGTCCCAGGGATCCTTCATCTGGGCTTTGATGGTAGTCTCTAGCCTCACTAAGCTGCGAACCTTTCCTGATATCTTATCGGCTGTGCAATCTACCCCTGCGTCTCTGAGCGAGGTATTCAACAAGCTACTCGCCACCATCAATCTCCAAGACACAGACACTCGTTCTCTGCTGGCCTGGACTCTGGCATCTCACCGTCCATTCCGTGTCAGCGAGGTACACGCCTTGTTCGAGACTGACACCAAGCGCATGGAGCCTGTGCACCACATTGGCGACACTACTCAAGATATTCTCAGCGCCATCGGAGCCTTTGTAACTGTTTATGACGGTGTCATATCTTTCCGTTATTCCGCCTTGCGCCAACACTTGATCACCGTGGCTAGCGCGGTTACCGATTTCACAAACAAGGGTGGCTTCCCATTCCACTTGAAGGAAGCTCACTACGATATCGTCACCCGCTGTCTGGCATATGTGAAGTTCCATGTCCAGGATGACCTGGAGGTGTCTTCCGTCACTGTCCGCCCGTCAACTCAGAACCACTTTTTCGATCGCTATGAGTTGCTTGAGTATACCGCACGTTACTGGCCCGCTCATTTCTCCTTGTCTCCCATGATGGAAGGCAAGGATACTTTCAAACTCACTGCCACCTTCAAGCAATGTCTACCTGATTCAATTCTTTTGGCTCTGCTTGAGACCAGCACACAGCAGATCCAGTTCTCCCTGCATACCGCCGAGGAGTTCTTGTCTCTGTCTATTAAGCTTCGTCGCTTGCTATTCAACAATGTTTCTCAATCCTTGCTGCAAAGCCTCGTGCTCCAAGGTCGTCTGACCCACACCCTCGGTCTTCGAACCAGTGTGGACTATCTCTATGAGTCTTGGGTACTTAGCGAGAAACTCCTTGGCTCACAGAGCAGCGTGGTCAAGGCTACTGCTGAGCTATTCATGCAGTCTATGACCAAGGTTGACATTAAGGAGACCACAATTATTAAGAAGAAGGAGAATATACTCCGCTACTTGATCGAGCGAACCAAAGAAGAGCGGGGTGTGTCTCACGATCTGACCGTCAAGTACACTCGCTCGCTTGTTCAGCTCTACATTGATATCAAGAACATTGAGGAAGCTACCGCTGTTTGCAAGGAGCTATATGAGTTGAGCATAACCCGCTATGGCCGTTTCTCTTCTGAGACACAGGATACTACCGACATCTTCTTTGAACAGCTGCAGTACTTCGGCAAGTCGGAGTTTGTTTCTGAAGTCATGCAGACCCGCCATGAGTACAACATCCAGCATCTGGAAGTCACGGATGAGCGTCGCATCACATCTACTATTTCCAGTGTGGAAGTCTTCGAGCAGCGCGGTGAGATCACCCGTGCCGAGTCCAGTCTCTTTGAGCTCTGGCAGAGTCTGTCCAGTGTGGAGCAGACATCTGAGTCTGTGATCAAGCAGCAGGTGGATGTGACTCTGAAATACTCCGAGTTCCTCACCAAGCACGGCCGCAAGGATGAGGCCGAGAGCATTGTCAGTGGCATGTGGGTATCTCTGCAACAGCAATCGTCTCGCTTTGAGAGCCTCAGCTCGACCATTGAGAAGTTCACGTCCCACATCAAAACACAGAAGTGGTACTCCTTGGCCGAGTCAGCTCTTTCTTCTCTCTGGAGTCAATACAAGTCTGAAAAGCGCACTAGCAGCTCTTCCACTGTTGCTGTTGCCTCGGCTCTGAGTGAGATTGTTCAAGAGTCTATAACTACGACACGCTCCAGCACTTCCTCGAGATCATCATCCTCCACTATCGTTCAGACACATCAGCAGTTTGAGCTCTTGCGCGAGGTTTTCGAGGCGGCTTCTCAGTCAACCTCGGTCTCCACGAAGTCTGTTGCTTCTACTATCCAGATGGCAGAGACAATTGCCGAATCGTACGTTCAACAGGGCAAGTACGAGAAGGCCATTGAGATCCACCAGCGCGCGATGCAAAGCATCTGGTCGGGTATTGAAAGCAAGACCTCCGTAATTAAGCTCACTTCTGAGACTACTCGGGTGGCTCGACATGCCATCAGCCTTGCCCAAGTCTACTTTAAGAACTTGCAGATTGAGAAGGCTTCCACTGTTTATGAGAATACTTTCAAGTCTGTCATCTCATCTGTTTCTGTCAAAGACGAACTCTTCACCAGTGTCACCAAGGATATCATTTCCTTCTATGAGACTACCTACCAGTTCTCCAAGGTTACCTCTATGTACCAGGAGATTTACAAAGTTCTGTCGACCCAAATTGGCAAAACAGGTGAGCGGACTATCCAGACCCTCTACAGCTGGGGTGACCGTGCTATAAAGTATCACCAAGAAGTAGAGGCAGAAAAAGCCTACTACGAGATCTTCGTTGCCTTTGGCAAGAAGGAAACTCTCGATGCCCGCTCCATCAGCGCAGCCCGCGCTCTATGCACCATCTATGAGAGCAGCAAGCGCTGGAAGGAGGCTCAGCAAGTGTATGAGATTTTGTGGAAGACCATCACTCTGCACGGCCAGGAGTTGTCCATCGAAAGTGAGGATATCGAAACCATCTACTCTCGCTACTCGTCCTTGCTAGAGACACACATAAAGGCGGATATTACTGTGATCCACAGCCTCGCGACCAGCTACCGCGAGACTTGCTTGAAGGTCTACGGCGAGTCCCATGTCTCCACTTACAAGGCTACCATAAGGCTGGCCGAGATCAGCCACTCCAGCGAGAAGTACCAAAAGGAGACTCTATCGCTCTACGAGTACGCGCTCAAGATGAGCTCAAAGTTCTCTTTCACTGTCGACACTCGCGAGTTTACCGAGTCGAGCACAGCCACTACCACATCGACTATCAGTATCATCAAGCAGCGGCTTGCTAAGCTGTATTCGAGCAGCACCGAGACTGTTTCCAAGGCTGTTTCCCTCTATCAAGAGGACTATTATTCTTCTGTCAAGCAAGAGGGCTACGCGTCCCAAACTAGCCTCACTGCTCTTCAAGAACTTGTGACATCCTACCACAAGCAGAACACCAAGACTTCAGCCACAGAGGCTGTGAAGACCCTTACAACGGCGACTACTTCTATTTTTGAGCAAGAGACAGACTCTCAGCGCATGTACAAGTCTTCCCAGACTATTGCACAGATGTATAAGACCGTCGGCCACCAGGAGGCTGCATGGACTCTCCTGCAAACTCTTCGGTCTCGTCTGATCCGTGAGACCACCAGCACCGAGAAAACTACCATTTCTCGAAAGGTTGCAGTCTTCATCGTCGCCTTTGAGGAGTCGCTCTTGCAAAAGCGCACTTACACCGCGATCATGGCCGAGCTCGTCTCCGAGATCAATCTGTACGAGTCGTTCTACACTGCTCGGAAGGAGAAGGAATTCCTCGCTATCTTCATCAGTGGTGTTCGCCTGCTAAGCTTCCAGCGCACTCGCAACGCCACAGAGGAGCTTCAAAAGACCGACACCGAGCTCTTCCGTCTGTTCACTGAGCACTTCTCCATCAAGACTCAGTCGAGCAAAGTCAGCATCCAGGCCTTCTACCAGATTACCATTGCTGAGATAACCAAGCGCGAGTATGATACTCACATTATTACAAAGACTGTACTTGCTATACACCAGGAGATTGAGCAAGGCCACTTCCAGGAGGCCTATGAGCTTTCTAGCATCCTGCACAAGTTTATTCAGCAGGTCGATGGCTTCAGCACTCACAGTAACACCAAGGAGGGTATCTTGCTTGCCAAGTACCTCCTCGGTCACGGCGTGAAGAAATCTTCGGATTCTAAACTGGTCAAGGCTATGTCTGAGCTCTCTCGTGTTGTGCTTCAAGATATTCTGATCGTGTACCGCGCTACTGGTGTCCGTTTCACGGATTTGGATGTGAGCGAGGTCAATGAAATCACCATTCTCTTGGGCGAACAAAAGAACTTCGAGGATCTGGAGGTAAGCAGACACCCTCTACTTTAATCAAGTCTTGCAACAGAAACTAACATTTCTATCTAGTACGTCCTCAACGACCTCTGGTCCTCCCGCATTGTCCAAAAGACCTGGTCGTCCGACACAATCATCTCCATTGGCCGACGCCTCGTCGAAGCCCGCTTCTCCTGCGGCCGCAAGGAACAAGCCATTCGCCTCTGCACCGACCTATGCTACAACATCGGCCGCGTATGGGGCCAATTCGACCGTATCACCTTGGAGCTCACCGCTCTGCTCTCGGAGCTATACACAGCAATAGGAAACTACGCCGGCGCAATGGCGGTGCACGAGACAGCTCTCCGCCAAGTAACGCACACCCAGACAGACGTGACATCCGCCGAGATGGGCGCATTTGCTGTTCAGCACACTGAACTCTTGAAGCGCGCTTACCAGCGAAACGGCGGCTGGGCTAAGCAGTCTAGTCTCTATACTGATCTCCTTAGGGATATTAATGAGCAGTTGATGACTGAGAAGACTTGGTCCCAGTCTTCGATTGAGAGTGTTGACAAGTGGCAGCCTAAGGGCGCTGATAATTTGGGGTTGTGGCAGCCGCCTACTAGCTATGGCTTCCTTACAGTTGGGAAGGTTAATAAGCATCAGAACCAGCTGCGGAAGATTAGTACTGGGAAGGTCTTGACTATGAGTCAGATTGCTGCTTAAAATTCGAGACGGGATGTTGTATCTGTGGAGACTTTATTGTGATTTATTGAGCGTTTGTTCTTGTTCTTCTTCATGTTCTCTGTTGATACTTGATGTTTAAACTGTATCTATGCATTTTCTGCTAGTTCTCGTTCTTGCTACTTAATTGAGACAGATCTTGTTCGCTTCTGATATATTGTAAGGTAAATCATAGTTTTTGTCGTTGCAGTGGGTGACTGAATGGGTCTAATCCTCTTCATAGCAAAATCCCGGTTGGCCAGTTGGTGGCTACCTTGTAACGTTATGTATAACTTAAGTTATACCTCGAAAGTTGTTAAATGCAACCACAAACATGTCGCCAACGCAAGATATCTTAAAAAGATCAAACAGAGCGCTCTGTATTTATCCTAAAGCTTTATCTATTATATGCATTATGACTACATTTCAAATCTGCCTGGCATGCATCAAGACTCGCCAGGTATAGGAATCGTCACGTGGCACTTCCCCTTAGACATCATCCAATCGCGTTCCTCTTCTACTTCACTCATATCTCACAAATAATCAATTTCACCTCTACATTAGCTTCAAGAAACAAGGACATGCCCTCGGGAGGTTCGTGAAATGCTTATATCCGGAAGAACCCGCTCTAACCATACAAGGCCCGGCCTGTATAACATGCCGTGAAAAGTGTCGCAAATGCGACCGCGCACAACCCGCCTGTCAACGATGCATCTCCAAAGGCCTTGAGTGCAAAGGATATCCAGAGAAATTTCGTTTTGCGGGGTTAGCCACACGGGGGAAGTGGAAAGGTCAAGCAGTTCCTACTGTAGGCCGCAGCGTTTTTCAGACTCAACTTGCAAATGATGCTCCAAAAACCAGACAAAAACTCGACACCCAAAGGGCTTCCGCTATATTAGTCAATCCAGATAATGGATTGTGCCATTCGGTTACTGATCATCCGCTGTCAAATCGAGGACGAACTGTGGAGTTGGATGATTTACTAATGCTAGAACGAACGGAGCTTTTGTTAGCCCACTGTGGGTTGATTCTTTTCAATTGCCCATTCAATTAACGCTGATTGGTTCTGCTTCAGATGATCGGGAGATATGTCCGCATCAGATTGCGCTCCCAACTGACGACGCAGACAACCCCTACAGACTCTATATCTTACCGCTAGCATATGAGCAGGTTGGTCTTCTATATGCTGTTCTCGGGCTCACGGCATGCCATATCGGGATCAAGAAAGATGATGCTTATCTTCGAGACACATTAGCAGTCGAGTACCAAGCAAGAGCTATCCGCTGCCTTGGAGAAACGCTACAGAACGGGATTTCTGGCGAGTTAGGAGAGAATGAACGTGACGGAATCTTTGCCACCATACAGATCCTATTACTCCAAGATGTGAGTGATCTATTCAGAGTCGCCAAGTAAGACCCGATGGTTGACTTGAAAGAAGATTTTCGAGACAGGAATCTCCACTCACGGTATTCACATTACCGGCGCTCTATCAATTTGCAACCAGCTACGCTTATCTGATATTTTGACCGAGGACCATGAACGGACAATATTCTTCCTAGGAAATCTGGCATGGTAACTTCTCAAGCCCAGTCTCTTCATTCCACTCAAAGTCTAATGCAAAATGCAGGCTGGATATTATCCGATCTCTGGCAGATCCGCAAAAGCTGTGTTTCTCTCCTGCTCTTCGTGAAACCATCGCCAATCTAAGTGACTTGAAATTTGAGCAAGTCAATGGATGTCCACGCGAACTATTCCTGATAATAGGTACTGTTCTGGAACATGCAAAAGCCCATGAAACAGGCTACATAGACACACCCCAATACGAGCGACTTCTCAATGCCGCCCGGTATGATCTTCAAACATGGCGTTTATCACCTGGCGTATATCCCAACGATCATTCACGCTGGCCGGCAATTGCCGAAGCATTTCGACACGCTTGCATACTACACACGTCCCGCTTGTTAGATGTGTACCAACCAGCTGAAGCAACGATGATACAGACTTCTGTGACGGCCATTTTGGATGCTATTGCGGAAATCCCACCTGACTGTCATCTGATTGAGCTGCTGGTCATGCCTTTATTCATGGCTGGGACCGATGCTTTATCCTCGTATGCTCGTCATTATGTCCTCCTGCGGCTCGAACATATCAAGGTCAGAGCAGGCTTTGGACATCCCACACCAATATCACTACTTCAGTCTGTTTGGGATGCACGTGGGAAACAGGCGAAAGATGATAATCGGAATGTTCCTTGGATGTCGTTTGTAAGTTTTCGATCTACTTGGGGGTTTCTTTGTCGCTGACTGCTTCAGACTCGCACCGGAACAGAGCGCCAGCATGATTATTTGATTATTTAATTTGATCCATGGATCTTGGGGGTATTAAGAGATGCAATCGGTATTAAGTTACACGGTTGTCTACGCCGACGATGAACGTGATCAGACTATATTCACTCAAACCAAGCACTATTCCAAACATAAGATAAAGAACAAAGAAATATAAATCGACAGAGATGGGATAACACATGAATACTTAAAAATTCCTAGCAATAAGGAACACAGGCACCAATTTCGGGAAAAGCCAAACTGCTAAACAACTCAGACAATATCAGATTCCTAATGCCACCTCGCTTTCGAACCTTCGCATCCCCATCTTTCTCCCATAAAGGCCTTCGGCCCTCACGGATAGCTTGCATTAACTCTTGCTTTTTCACGCACCAAAAACTGATCAAAAGTTCCAAGAGGAAGACCCCACGCCTTCACTTTCTCCAAATCCACGAACGAGGACATACCGCGCATCATGAGCTGGCCTGCAACGAAGGGATTGATAAATCTCTGCTTATCGATCTCTTCATCAGACATGAAGATGGCCTTGAAGTCCTTTCCAGTCGCACGCGACATGGCTCGCATTATCTCCTCCGCTCCCATGAATTCCGACGCGATCTCGATCTCCTGGTTGTTGAACTTGACAGGGTCAAGAACTGCCGCAGCAGCAAATTGGCCGATATCGTTCGGGTCAACCATGGGCAGCACGGTATCCGGTGCGAGAGCTGTGGTGAATACCCCGTTCTCTGCCAAACCCTGGTACATTTGGTTCTTTGGGAACAGGAAGTTGGTCATGAAATTGCCCGGTCGTAGAAGTGTCCAAGTATCAAATCCTGCATTCCGAATTTCGTGCTCGATTGCTTGTTTGTTGAGCATCATCTTGCTGATGATGCCGTTGGGATCCCAGTGGTTGTTGCGCGAGGGATCGTTGGCGGACACGCCGCTGGTATAAATGACTTGTTTGATGCCGGACTCTTTGGCAATTTTGAGAAGACGGCGAGCTTGCTCGAGGCTTGTATTGAGGTCTGTGAGTGCAGGCATCAGGTTGAGGAAGAGACTGGTGCAGTGGGCCATGTTTTGCTTGACAGATTCATCGTTGTCGAAATCACCCTCGGAGATTGCTACACCAAGTTTTTGGAGGCGTTGGGCAGCGGGAGAATTTAAAGACCGGGTAATTGCGTGGACTTTGATGTCGTGTTTTTGTAAATGATCGATGAGAGCACCTCCTTGAGTGCCAGTGGCACCACAGACGAAGACGGTTGGAGAGGACATTTTGAGTCAATGTGGTTATTATGAGAGTAGATGGTTGTGAAATTCTATCAGACCTGCAGATATCGCATGCTTTATATCCATTCCAGTGGCATTAAACATCGACAATTCCTATATTTGGCGGAACTCCACTAACTCCGCCGCTAACTCTAACCCCGAGCGACTTCTGATTGGCGCGCCACAGCCTCATTTGACTAGCGTGCGGAATTCCGCTGTCGCGCGACGCACCGGTGGAACAACCTCCCAGCGACTTTTCTCCCGATTATCAATTTCACTGTTTTCGCCATGCTACAGACTACAGAGACCAAGCCTCCTCCGCGGCGCAAGTCCTGCGAGGCATGCAAAACAGCCAAAAGGCGCTGCGATTTGGCATTCCCAGCATGCTCGCGGTGTATGCAAAGGAATATCCAATGCATGTACCCCGGCAGACTGCCCCAACCCTACTCCGAGATAATCGATAACACCTCCCTCACGGATAATTACGGGATCTTTGACGGTACTATGACCCCATATCCATCCGACGCCGATCTCATGGCGGTGATCAACATGGGCTCGATACAACCTGTCGTGGTCCATTCGCCGTTTCGGTATATCACAATACTCCCTCCAGACCAACGCGTCGATTTATTTGAAAATTCTCCACCATTACATGGCTTTGAATTGGCCATGCCACGAACAAACCCACCAAAGCCTCTGTCTGGCATCTTTGCCAATCGGATTCAATTCGCGGTTGATGTACTCAAGGATATTCCCAAAATGATGGTCACTGAAACACAGACTCCATGGTGTCATCGCCAGCTCTATAAAAATAACATGCCGAAAGAAATGCAAGGTAAGTGCAACCGCTCCGAATTGAACGTCCTCAAAGGCATACCACTCACAATGTTTTAGATGTGTTCACTTGCTGTTCTCTCTATATGACCAAGAACGAAATCAATGCACCGGTACTCATGTCAATATTTGACTCCCGCATCAATGATCTCTTATCCTCACCACCACCTACAACACGTCTGGAGCTCCTCGCTCGAATCCACGCCCTTATCCTATACCTTATCATGCGATTGTTTGACGGAACCACACGATCACAGCCGTCTTCGCAATGCCTATTTGATGTATTGGAAACCTCAGTACAGTCCCTACTAAGTTGCATCCATCTACCCCACCCATCAGAGCCATTGGAATTGCTCCCCATATCCATGGACCCCGTAATGAATTTCTGGGATTCGTGGGTCTTTCAAGAATCAGCTCGGCGCACTGTGATGATGGTGTTCTATTTTGTATCCATACATAACTTTTTGCAAGGGAGACCAACCCCAGTATGTGACGGGAAGCTAGGACTTGAACTTGCATGGTACCAATCTGCGCATTTGTGGAATGCGCAGAGTGCTTTTGATTTTGCGGTTGCTTGGACTGAAAACCAGCATTTTATCGTTTATAATGCGGACTTTTCGGGTCTTCTTCAGGATGCGAAGCCTGATGATGTGGATTTGTTTGGGAGGATGTTGCTCGTTACGAAGTTTGGTATTGACGAGACTAAGGCTTGGTTTTATTCACGGGGGGGATCTTTGTGATACTTGCTTTTATATTTCCCCAATGCTTCTTGTACAAACTTGAACAGACTTTAAAAATTAACCAGCTTGGATTTATTTGTATTCCGATTGAGATTGTGACATTTCATCTTCCTGTAACAATATGCTTTTCGTTCATCGAGCCATTGCCTTCTCAATCCTTTCTCTGACACCGTCTCTCCACATGTCCCATCCCAGACTGAAGCTCAATGTATCCCTCCACAGATCTTCAGGATCACTTCCAGGCGGGAGCCCCTTTCCATTCCCAATTTTCCCATGGACCTTCCCTTTCACAAATCGCATGTGCCAAGGAATCATTCCAATCAGCTTGAATCCCATCCTCTCAGCAAGCTTAACACTAGCAAGATTCGTCGTGTTCGCCGACCAATGAACTCTGCACAATCCAAGCCCATTCTGCTCTGGAGAATCTAAAGCAAGTTGTAAAGCAAGTCCAACCGCGTTCGTTGCCACATGGGTACGTTGGTAAGGCGGTAGGATTACAATAAAGCCGATCTCTGCGCACAGATCTGTGGGCGATGCCCGGATCAAGCTCACCGTACCAGCCAATTCGCCTTCTGGATCCTCGGCAGAGGCAGGGCGTGTCTTGTCGATAATGGCGAAGGCAAATGACTCAGGATTAGAGAATGAGAGGATATTGCCTGGTGGGTTGTCGTAGAAGCGGCCTTTGAGCTCGGCTACTGAGCTTGGAGCCAACATGGGCATATGCGCATATAACTCTGGATGTGGGAAGGATAGACGGAAGAATGTCTCGCAATGCTGCTCTGGGTTGAAGGCGACGAGCTTGAGGCGGTCATTTGAGGCCCCGTGGATGGGGAAATGGAAGGCAGAGGATGCCGCCATTTCAAGATACCGTGTTGGGTGTCAAGTCAAGACTATAGACTGGAGAATCACGTATATTGATAACTGCAGGATGGACGAGACATAAATTACAGGAGAGTTGACGAGGTTGTGTCTGGGCATCTTTTCTGAGTCATCCCCACTTTGGCCGGACCTCGGGAGCTTGTGGGCCCTAACATGCGGCTCTCGACGGCTCCTCGAGTTAATGTAGGCCCGTGTGAACCACCACGAGCCGTTGAAGAGCATCAGAGCTCAAGTACTGGCAGTAGTATATGGGTCAACCAATAACATGCCTTGCTCTGGCCATTTCCTCGTCGAGCTCGGTCACGGGCACTGATATAGGATGCCATGTCTGACCATAGTCGAGCCTTTGAGAACTGAAAGTCATATCGTCAGTATAGCTTAGTGATTGTCACACCCGCGTGTCTACGCCTTAGATTTGCCATTCTTTGCTTTGTCCCGTCAATATTTCTCTCTCAAGGCCTTTCTTCCCATCCCATCTTCATTGCTTCTCCCAACTTTGGTTGGAGCTTCTCGCAAACATGGCTGACAATTGAACCCTATGCCAACAGAATGCGGAGCTCACCTCGCATTTTGAGACCAACCATAACGTTGTACCTAGCCCTTGATCCTCGCAATGTCCAACTTCCTCCTTTGTTTGTTGTCTGCATCATCGGTGCACGAGGCGATTCAGCTGGCGGTATCGCCCGGGGCGTACGCCCGAGCCAGTGCCAGTGCTCGCATTCTCACTTCTCGGGAGCCTTCACTCGTCGACGAGCTCGCACGCGAGATCCGCACGGTCAACCCATCAATCAGAGTTGAGATGGTTGAATGCGACAGCACTTCCTCTGCAAGAGTCGAGGCCCGCTCTTATGATTAGAATCGAGTTTCACAGTTATCTCGATGTCGTTCTCGTTAATTCGACGTTTTTCGGTCCTCTGATACCTAATTACTGCTCGAATCTCCTGTTGACTTCAAAATCTCATTTGAGGTTAATGTCACGGGTACCTTTAACGCCGCCTATTACCTTTTTCCCTTACTTGGGTCAAGATCTTATCGCTTTCAGCTCGATCTATGCGGCCACTGTTTCGAGCTCACGTGCCGACACAAACTTTTGCGCAAGCAAGCCGCACAGAGCATAACACAGCTTTTATTACAATTGGACCATCTTAGATCAAGTAAGAAGAGCTCTAACTTAATATATTCAAAGCTACGTTTTCACTCTAGTACCTGGAAGGGCAATGTTATCTCATAGCTATACGGCTATACGTATGTGACATGTCTCATAAGCTTGAAGCAAGGCTAGTAGCGCTAACTTACATATGACTATAATCCTTGCATTCTATTGCAAAAGGAACGGTGGCTGGCTGTAAATGTGCCGACGCACAGACATGGTTCCTTTAAGATCATCAATCTTACAGACTATTCGCGTTAGGCAGCTTCGCTTTATTGCATGTTTAATGTCGCCAAACAATAATCCAGAGGCACGGTTGAATTCATTGGCTACAGGTACAGCCACAGTTCGAGCAGTTCGTTATGCAGAATACCGGAGGGGAGACCGCATGACCATTGATTCCCAGCCCCGGGAAAGATTGTTACACAGTAGTTACATTTGTAGGCTGGGTTTCCCGTCAACCTACTTGTTAATTGATCCTTGTTGGCTATCAATATACAGAAGGTTTGCAAACAACTCATGGATAAGAACGATCGTCCGCTCAAAGTGCTCGTGACAGGCGTAAGCGACAGTCGAAGACAGCTACTCCATATAGTCGACAGATGGCTTACTCTATACATAGGCAGCGGGTTTTCTTGGATCCAATTTGGTCGATTTCCTCCTTCAAAAAGGCCATTCAGTGATCGGGCTAGACAATTTTCAAAGTGGCTCATCCAAAAACTTGCAGCACTTGAACAATCACCCTCGATTCGAATTTTTCAAGTAAACACCATCATGAGCCATGTACAAAGAAGATTTCTACGGATCGCTAACGGCACCGATGACAAAAATAGCCACAATATTTATTGTTCCCTCCCAAAGCTGGAAGGACTCGACCAAATCTACAACCTAGCTTGTCCAGCAAGTCCAGTTCACTATCAGAAAGATCCGATTTCGACTCTAAACACATGTTTTCTCGGGACTCGGAATCTCCTAGAGCTCGCAAGATCAAGTAACATCCGAATACTACACACAAGCACTTCAGGTAAGTGAGCTAGGCCTTCTGAGGTCTCCGCTATTTCTAACCAAAGATATTATCGAGAAAATAGAAGTCTACGGTGACCCATCTGTTCACCCCCAAGCGGAGCATTACTGGGGCAACGTGAATTCATTCGGGCCGCGAGCCTGCTACGACGAAGGAAAACGCGTCGCTGAAGCTCTCTGCTACGCATACCGCGAGCAACATGACGTTGACATCCGTATCGCCCGCATTTTCAACACATATGGACCACGCATGGGCGCCAGCGACGGACGAGTGGTGTCGAGCTTCATAGCATCCGCATTAGCCGGGGAAGATCTCAAAATCACAGGAGATGGTACGGCAACACGTTCCTTCCAGTTTGTTACGGATTGCATGCAGGGACTTTACTCTCTCATGAACAGTGGCTATAGCAAGGGCCCGGTGAACATTGGGAACGATGGGGAGTTTACTATAGAGCGTCTTGCTGAGCTTGTTATCGATCTTGTTTCGCGCATGACGTGTCAACCTCGAGTTTCAATTTCGCATCTTCCACCACTTGTGGATGATCCTACCATTCGTCGACCGGATATTGCTTTGGCGAGAGAGGTGTTGAATTGGCAACCTGTGGTTCAGCTAGAGGAGGGGCTGAGGAGGACTATTGAATGGCATATCAATGAAAGCCGATCTGACTGACTGGCTGGGAGGACTACTTCTAGGAGGGAAACACTCTTGTCCCAAAATTTGGGATAAATTGATGTTTCAACCACCTTAAACTAATTGTATTGGTAGTCCATGGGGTTTGCTCGCGCGACCGTGGATCACATCACGTTAGAGACTTGGGCCAAGTACATTGAAGCGCAGAAGACATTGTATTACATACAAATTTAGCCCACATTATCTTCACTTGGTCCTACTAGCTCCCTATCTCGCTGTCGCTGAAATTGAGGCTTTTCCGATCGTATAATTGCTGATTATCTAATTTTCTAGGTATAAACTACCCTCGCTGTCCCTCTTACTCTCGCCGGCGAAACAAGAGCCTCGACGATATAGAGAAACTATCCTCTCTCGGGCTGACCTAGTCGCTAGAAATCCATAGAACTTATAACTTTCTATAAGCTAAATAGCTTCAGAATACAGAGACAGCAAGATGAAAGCTTATGGGACGATGTGACAACTAGCTAAGATTTGTATGGGAAACCCTAGTAAATTACCACTGAGGCGTTATAGGGCGGTCAACAATTACTGTATTGAAATTATGATGTTTCCGTTTGGCCGCACTCTTCAGTGGTGAGAGGGGACGGGGATCCGGGGAAAAAGCCGCTCCGGGGAAGTTAAAGAAAGCTGCCTCGCGTTACTTCGCTGTTTCCCCGCACTTCACAGCTGTGGTGGGATTCTCCTCCTGTTCCTCATTCAGTCGTGTATGGCCCTAGCTGCTGTGGAATTGTTTCCGTGATGGACATGACTCTAGATCCCCTGAATTCCGGGAGTATCAAGCGTATTCGACAGGCATGTGCCAACTGCAGGTACGCAGGATCGTATTGCCCCAGATTTACGTTTCCAACTAATGCTGTATCACCCTTCAAAATTTAGGCGCAAGAAGACTAAATGTTCTGGCGAGCGTCCAGTATGCTTCCACTGTCGACGAAATCGACTTACCTGTGTCTATGAACCATACTCGACTACTATAAGCGATCCTCCAGCTCCCCCCCTGGCACCAACAGCGAGCATCCCGACCGACCAAAGCAATGTCAGCTATGTCCATGACTGTCTACGATGCGATTTCGATGCTAATTTCATAATAGGCAAAGCTTCTTCAGCGGCTTAGCACAATTGAGTCTCGTCTTGCAGAGCTCAGTGGTTGCGCACCGGCAGGAAACGGGTTCGTGCAATGATTATTGTATCTAGCACAAGCACTAATCGCTCATTAGAAACAACCTATCGGAGTTCTCATTGCCTGGAAACCACATCTCAACATCCGGAGAAAGTGGTGCACGGTATTTTCAGTCGATATCACCCCCGATAGATCACGCGTATGTTCATTGTCGAATCTCTCGACTGTTTTCTGGAATAAAACATGAATCTCATATATAGTGATAAAACAGGTCATTTCCACCAGCACCCGTTCTACGCTCTGTTCTTGGTACGTACTTTGAGCATGTCCACAACCAGCCTTACTCCTACTTCCAGGAGGCATCATTTCACGAAAAGCTGCAATGGAACGTGTTACCCCGATGTTTGGTCTTGGCCGTGCTCTCATCTGCAGTCCGTTTTTCCAAGCATGATTATTATGCTGGCAGGACTCAAGAGGCATCGGAGAGATATGCAAGGGAATCGTGGCTTTCTGTTCTCACCGAACATTTAACTGCTGAGGACAATCTCAATGTGCATGTTGTTCAAACTGTAAACTTGCTAGCAGTGGTCGACTATACAGGTGAGGTGATTTCCCCCTGGCACATACGCATCGGCCTGCTAACAAGAAGCTTTACCATGTTCAGCCGGTCGCGTGAGCTCTGGGTGGCTCAAGATTGGACTTGCTGCGCGAATCTCCCAAGACCTTCACATGATGGATGAACCTAATCAATGGCTTCCCTTTACAGAGCAGGAAGAAAGAAGGCGAGCCTTTTGGTCTGCATACCTGATTGATAAGCTCATTTCTTGCGGCCGATCGCGACCTCTTGTCATACTGAACGAGGATTGCAAAGTTCAGCTGCCGTGTGATGAGCATACTTTCAGGGAGGGAGAATGGAAAAAGACAAACACGATTGAGCAGCTCCTCAGTTGGAACACTGAAGTCACGGAAAGCCCGAGTCCCTTTGCCCTGGTTATATTGATGGCGTCAATCTTTGGCCGCTGCACGAGATATGTGCATCAAAACAGAAGGGCAGATGAGATTCCACCATGGGACCCCAAATCAGAGTTCTCCGCCATCAATTCTTCTCTGTTATTGCTGGAGTCATACTCAAAGATTGGGACTCGCCGAGTTTCCGACATCCTGCAAACCGAGACGGAAAGCGTTGATCGGAAAGAAGTCGGGCATCTCGTTTTTGCTCGTGCGCTGTTTCACCTCTGCCACTGTCTTCTAAACCACCCCTTCCTTGTACGTCTACGACTCAAGGCATTTGGCTCCAAAGCACCAACTAGCTTCTCTGCACGCTCTCTTCAGGTGGGATGTGATCATGCAAGACACATTATGGATGTACTGCGGGATGCCCATGAGAGTGGATGTCTGATTGAATCTTCCTTCTATGCATACTGCATTGCAATTGCCGGGGGAGTCCACTCTCTAGCTTCGCACTTTGAGCACCAGTCAGCAACTCGTCGCCAATCCGACATTTCGCATTACTTTAATGAGAGCTTGGATTCTCTCGGGCGATTGGCAAAGCTTTGGGTTCACGCAGCAAATATGGTAGGTTTTATTCGTGGGAGTAGTTGTTACCTTTCTGACAGTGCCATTCCCTAGGCCGTCCGACTCCAAGAATTCCACAACATCTCGCACCAATTTGCCAGCCTCCTCGATCCGACCTGTCTAACGGAAGATGTCGATCCTGCGTCCCAAGAGCTTCTTTGGTCAATGATTGACTATGGTATTCTGGGCGCAGATCCAAATCAAAAGCCACTCACGCCACAAAATACCATTCCAACCCTTCAGACACCCAGTTCGGGAGCCCTCGGCTCAGATATACTTGAGAATATGCAACTGCAGTTTGAGAACGCAAACCAGGATATTTTTACAGGGCTTACTCCTACAATGCGGCTAAATGAAGCCGAGTATCTTTTGAATTGTAGCCCAAGAGCCAATGGGATGATCTGATCTTCGAAGTGCTTGTGCCTCCCGCCCATCCGCCGTGATACTCGGTCCGGGCGGTCCGACGCTTTGTTGTACCCGCCACCTGGAGAAGAAAGAAGGATATGAAAGCACATAGCAGACTACTCACTCCACCAAGAGATAATTTGATGATTCGGTTGGAATTGATTGTCATGGCGGGAAAGCAGCAATCTCCTTGGAACGGCGTGGTGTCTGGCACTACTGCTGCCATTTTGGCCAACATTCTTGTTTACCCTCTGGATATGTATGACCGGGTTTTTATCTTTGTTTTTCGAAGTTATGCTGATCCACCAAAGCGTGAAGACGCGATTGCAAGTTCAAGTCCAAAGAACAAATCAGCAAGGTAAATGTGCTGGTTACGAGAATGACCATGACACAACCAAGGATACCCACTACAACAACGCAGCGGATGCAATTTTCCAGATCCTTCGTGAAGACGGTGTTTCGGGTCTATACAACGGACTGGAAAGCTCTATTGCCGGCACGGCATCCATGAATTTTGCCTACTTTTACTGGTCAGCAGTTGCACGAAGCTTGCATCAAGCAATCCTGCAGTCATATGGCTTCTCAGATACAAACAGCATCATAAAGGAGCTTGGCCTAGGTGCTGTTGGCGGAGCTTTGGCTCAATTATGTACCAATCCCATCGCTGTCATCTCAACACGACAGCAGACGCGCAAAGCCAGCGAAAAGAAAATTTCTATGTGGGCGACAATGAAGGAGATTTCCCAGAGTGAAGATGGATGGACTGGGCTTTGGAGAGGCTTTAAAGTCAACCTCATTCTAGTCGTCAACCCCATGATTACATATGGTGTTTACCAGTGGCTAAGAAGAGGCCTGGTAACACTAAACAAAGAACTTGGTTCTCTTGATGCGTTTCGTGAGTTCTCATTTGCTTCGTATCCACGAACAGTTGCTTACAGTTGTCAGTTCTCGGTGCTCTTTCAAAGGTTTTAGCAACTATTGCTACCCACCCACTTATTGTTGCGAAGGCCATGCTACAGTCAACCCCTCCAGATTCCCGAAGGGGGAAGCCTTTCAGAGGATTTACCGAGGTTCTTGCATATATCATAAAGAACGAAGGATCCTCGCGCCTATACAAGGGCCTCGCTCCACAGATTATCAAGGGGTTCCTAGTTCAAGGTCTCATAATGATGCTGAAAGAGCGGTATGTCCCTTTGATGTGATTTAATTCTGACTAATTGACTAACTTATGGAACAGAACCGAGATTCTACTCATGCTGGCAATTTCATTTCTTAAAAGACGCTCACAGCGACGTTCTTTCTTGTAAGGAAAATAGAAAGTTTACAACAATACATAGTATTTCATTCTATGTGCGAATGTACACTCTGCGTCTGTTCTTCTCTCGTACACGTTTCTACAATAGTTTTAAACTTATAAGAAAAGCTTCACGATAAATATACCTTTACCGCTTCATCATTTGAGCAGTTCGTCATTTGGAACGGCGTTCTGGCGGTCTATAGCGTAGAACGAGGTACTTAGAATTGATGTATAGCCTACGGGGATACCATTGTAATTCAAGTAATCAGGTTTTCTGCCGGACCCGTGATATGCAGAACACCTACAATTACGCATAATTTAATACATTTCCTCGATGAGCCTATAGTTCGCCGTAAATGGCGTATCTCGAATCTACTCCTACCTAATTCGACACAAACAATATTCCAAGGGAGACAGAAATGTGGAAACCCAATCAGCGTGCTCTAGTGATCGGTCCTGGCGGTCCGAACCGCTGCTCCGGTCTGGGCACCGGTCCGGCGATTTCTGAGACCGGTCCAAGCTAGTCGTGTAGAGAACCAAGACTTCTATAGGCAAAGTTTACTCACGTGTGAAATATGAATAAAGATTTATTAACTGCGCGATAGTTATTAGACCCGTCTTATCTGAAGCAAAAGTTCGAATTGAGAACTTTACACAGCTATTATGTCTTCTTCCGCCGTTACCAGTGTGCCGTTCGCCGATCCTCTCTGGCTCAACCGTCGCTGTAGTCCATTCTATAACGACTCTCATCGGCGTTTGCAGAAGGAAGTGCGGAATTATGTCGATACCCATATTGCTCCATTCTGTGAAGAATGGGAGAGACAAGGCTTTGTGCCACCGGAGGTAGTTCTTTCTCCATCAACTGATGGCTCACTGAGATCTTGTTGCAGATATGATGAGAAAAGTGCTAACCCAAACTTCATACTCAAGGTCCAAAAGCTTCATGCTGAGCTAGGATATACTGCCGTGGCATCATTCCCAGTAGCTGCCGAGTATCTCGATGGCCAACGTCTGCCCGGGGACATCAATCCATACGAATGGGACGGGTTTCACGATCTTGTAGTTATCGATGAGCTGGCTCGCTGTGGTTACCTTGGAATTGTATGGGCACTCGGGTGCGGAAACTCAATCGGGGGCCCACCTGTCATCAACTTTGGAAACGAAGAGCAGAAAAGGCGCTTCCTTCCAGATATGCTGAAGGGCAAGATTCGCTTTTGTTTGGGAGTGACTGAACCGGATGGTAAGTCAATTTACCCCAGTTCTGAATCAGAACTATCTGCTGAGCCACGTCACTCATATTTCACTTCGCTTCACAGCTGGCTCTGACGTCGCCGGGATCACAACTACTGCTGAGAAAAATGGAGATGTCTACATTGTCAATGGAGCCAAGAAATGGATCACAAATGCCATCTTCGCAGACTTTTGTACCGCAGCGGTGCGCACCGGAGGGCAAGGGACTCATGGTATCTCGGCGCTGATTATTCCAATGAACGCTCCCGGTGTGACTTGCAGGAAGATTGAAAACTCCGGCGTTCAGGCGAGTGGTAAGTCGGAAATGAATATAAAAAGATATGATTAAATCTAATTAGCCCAAAACAGGATCCACTTATATCGAGTTCGATCAAGTTGAGGTACCCGTCACCAACCTGCTCGGAGAAGAGAATAAAGGCTTTCCCGTTATCATGAATAGTGCGTTCGCTCCTTTGATTCATTTTGAATTTCGTTCAGATTGAATCATTACTGTGAGCAAGACTGATAGTTTTAGACTTCAATCACGAGCGACTGTGGTTGGCATGCACATCCCTCCGCATGGCACGCGTGTGCGCCGAAGATTCCTATCGACACGCCATCAGCCGCGAAACCTTCGGCAAGAAGCTTATTGAGAACCAGATCATTCGATCCAAGTTTAGCGCGATGGGAAGAAAATTGGACTCTGCGTATGCATGGATGGAGCAGTTGGTCTTTATTTCTGAAACGTCGAAAAGAAATGGCGTCGATAGTGGAATGGGAGGCTTGTTTGCAAATCTCAAGGTCTTGGCAGGTCAGACCCTTGAAAAAGTCAACCGTGAGTCACAGCAGGTTATGGGTGGACTTGGATACTCGAAAAATGGTCGTGGCTCAAGAATCGAGCAGATCAGTCGGGATGTGAGAGTCATGGTGGTCGGTGGTGGGAGTGAGGAGATTTTGTCTGACTTGGCTGTCAATCAGGAGATCAAGACCATGAAGAAGCAGAGTAAGCTATAGAGGCTTAGAGATTATTCTCAATGAACGCTTCATTGTGTTTTGCTCTATATTGTCCTCGTGTACTAAAAAAAACACTACTGTAAAACCTGCATATGACGAGCCTCTTATGATACGAATCCCCCTATTCTACGAATTCGTATCCCATCACCCTAATTAAATTGCTAGATTCTTTCAATATACCGCTTATTCCGCATATTAGACCCACCTTTACCACTATGATCAAATCATAAATCCTGCTAAGATGCTAAATCTTAGATTCAGCACGTGCCTAATGTTGGACTATCGTACTATTAGAGGCCTGGCGGTGGCCTAAAAGCATTATTATCTTCTCTAGGCAGTAGTAGAAGCCTAATTAAGGCAAGATAAGATGGTATTATGGCGATGACGGTCAAAAATCGACGTTAGGGTGATACTCGGGCGATATTGATAAAATAGGGGTGTCCTCTCTCATAAGAATGATATAACGAATCGCTCTCTGGTGAAAGTCTCGTCATCGTATAAAGCTTTTACAGCATAAGGAGGTTTTATATGTCCCTCCCTTGGACGGTGTTCACTCCCCTGGCAGAGTTGCTCATGGAGACGTGGTTAGTGCTTTACTTTCGTCAATCTACGAAGATGTTTTATCGAAGAAGTACCGAATTCACTTGAATTTACTCATTGTTTCCTAGAATTCCTTTTTTAAACAACGGAACAAAGTATCTTCCCCTCCTCTACTGCATCCCCCTTCTTCCAGTTAGTCTCGAATTTCCCCGACGCAGACACAGCAATGCTAACCTCCATCTTCATGCTTTCAATCACCATGACTGATTGTCCAGACTCAACCTCATCGCCATTATTTTTCAGGATGGACAGGACTTTGCACGGCATTGGTGCCATGATTGTATTTTGCTCGGGGTCATTCTTCTCTTTAGCCACAGACCGAATACTTTCCGCAAATGACAGGAGCGTATCACGCTTGAACTCAATAAATGTACCCAGCATAGGGAGATGGCAGAAAACTCGTTGACCTCTGTCAATCTCTCCTGCCAGAGTGTGTGGTCTTGCAGAAGGGAGAGTTACATGTGCTAGAATCTTGGTTCCGTTGATCGAGACCTGCAGAGTGGATGTAAGCCATGATTCCACGACAGCAGGATTTCCTTCTGCTGGGCGCCATGAATCAATGTTGAGTTTGTAAGTCTTTGAATCCATGGCTTTTCCACTGCGCAATGCCTGACTGATCTCGTTATACTGGGCAGAGACTTGTGTGGCTGTTACTGCCGATGTTTCCTGAGAAGACTTCGAGTCTTCAATCTCAAATAGGTAGGCCTCTCCATTGTTCTTCGGGATGTTTCTGTCTTGTGGCTTCCAGATACACATTTGCTTAATAGAGGAAACGTCTCCCTGTTTTCCCCCAGGCCAGTCGACATTCGTCACAATTTCGCAGTGGGCACTAACGGGATCATAGCGCTGATTGCGGAATTGTTTGCGGACACTGCCAAACGGTTTCTTTTGCAGTGTGGCCGGTATGAAGTTTGACAAGTTCCGAACAATCAATCCTGGAATGATAGAAAGCATTGTTTGTACTTCTGGCTTCTGAGTCCTTGGCGGTTGCAGCAGTTTATCGATGTTGGCAGGAATAAATGAAGTGGTATATGTAGGGTCGTGGAATGCCCGGTTCAATAGACAGGATTGCATGAAAAGTTGATTGGTTTTGACACCAACACAAGCAGTGTGTGCAAGAACCTTGGTCATTTTCTCGATGGCGAGTGCTCTTGTTGGCGCCCAGACGACGATTTTCGCGATCATGGAGTCAAAGTAGATTGAAACCGAAGAGCCGCTTTGGATTGCTGTTTCATATCGAACATCCCGGCCAGCGGCGAGTTCATCTGTTGCTGGGAGCCATAGATGAACTTTGCCGTGTTCTGGGAAGAAGTTCTTCTGTGGATCCTCAGCGCACAAGCGGCATTCTATGGCATGTCCTAGTTGGGAGATATTCCGCACAGCAGGTAGACTCCGTAGTTTTCCACCCGCAGCCGCAAAGAGCTGAAGTGCAACAAGATCAATGCCAGTAACCTCTTCTGTGATGGGATGCTCGACTTGAAGTCGAGCGTTGACTTCGAGAAAGTAAAAGTGACCGGTTTTCACATCCACCACAAATTCAACTGTACCAGCATTTTCATATCCGATCAGTTTGGCGATGCGGACTGCAGTCGCACTCATTCTTTTTCGTATGTCATCTGTGAGGAATGGACAGGGCGTCTCCTCGATGACTTTCTGGTGTCGTCGCTGGACAGAGCAGTCGCGATCAAAGAAAGAGACCACTTCACCGTGAGAATCACCCAGAATTTGAATCTCCACATGCTTGCTGCTTTCAATATATTTTTCTAAGATGCAATCACTCGATCCAAATGAGCGTTGAGCCTCAGACTGCGCTCGTTCAAGCTCCTCCTTCAGTTGACTAGCCTCCCGAACAATTCGCATTCCCTTTCCTCCTCCTCCTGCTGATGCTTTAAGCATGATTGGGAATCCAATTTCTTGAGCTGCTGCTCTCAAAGCCTCATCGTCCTGACTGGAACCTGAAAATCCAGGGATCAAAGGGACATCTGGTGCATTCTTGCTCAAGTATACTTTCGATGACCGCTTGTCACCTAGCGTGGACATAGCGCTGGCGCTGGGACCGATGAAAATGAGCCCTGCTTGACGGACTCCATTTGCAAATTCCGCATTCTCGCTCAAATAGCCATATCCCGGATGAATCGCTTGTGCACCTGTCAAAAGTGCGGTTTT